AGTTTATCATTAAGGATGGTAGTTATGGGTCCAGATTGCTGCTTGGGTACTTCTGCCGCCCCGTAGTCCCTCGGCAAGGAACAACGATCCCGCCGGATAACCTAAGCATCTTCCCTGCCGGTCGCTGGGGCTGCCTGATCGGGAGACTTGTTTATGTTATGCGACGATTTTATCAGATTTTCTACAGATTGAGAAACTGTCTTTGGTGGCCGAAACCGTGTCTGGGTAATCTGCTTCCAGACGCGACGACTAATCTTACCTTCAAGGACCGAATATGAAAGTGTCCGACTAGCAAAGCCCATTGAAGTGTTTGAATCCGGTGTCGTCCTTATGAGACGCGACGGGGGGTCACAAATCACCCCTCACATGCGTCGCATCGTTGTTTCCCTATCGATATGTCCTCCCGCACCTCCAGTTCTTCTCCGGACATTCTTGGGCCACCTGGCGACGCTGATTATTTGATCTCCTCCCCATTTGTCCCCTTCTCCGGTCGCCAAAGCTTCATGTCGCCCGCCAACTTCCGCCTCCTGCAAAGTCCGCGGACGGCGAAGGGCAAAAGGCGGTCGCGTGTGAGTTTGAGCCCTTCGAAAAACGCTCACTCCATAAAGTTCAATGACGTTGTGCTACCTGCCTCCCCGACGACGAAACTGAACGGCCAGCGCGGTGGAATGTCTCCCGATAAGGGTCCGGCCGACGGGAATGTCAGTCCGTGGAGGATCCGGGTAACGCTCGAAGCGACACAAGATGAAGAAACGAACCAAGGCAGCCCTTCGCGAAAACGGTTGAAGCCATCAACGACAACGATGAAAGTACCCCTCAAAGACGATACAGAACAGACTCCACGCAGACGCAGAGGTCGCCCAAGGAAGTCGGACATTTGGCTGCAGGATGCGACTCCACGCGGCGGTAGTCCAGGACATACCCCGGGTCCAGGAAATACACCAGGCCCTGGACATACCCCGGGCCCAGGGCATACTCCGGGTCCTGGGGGGACGGGTCAGAAGAGAAAGCGAGGCCGGCCGAGAAAAAGCGCACCGGCGCTCGATGTGGTAGAACCAAGCGAACAGCAGGTGGAGAACCAAGAGATTGAACAAGAGGCGCCGATAGAGCCCGAGCAGAGATGGAGTCCGTTGAATCTGGCAGCAGACCCGGGATCCGACGATGACATTGGGGGGGATCAAGGACTCGAATTCAATGACGATTTTGGTTATGGCGACCGATTGGAACTACCTGATTCCGCTGTCCGCGATGAGACTGGTCCCCGGGTGACATTTGAGCAAACTTTTGACACTCCAAATGTTGACCATGTCGACCAAGGATTTACGGAGAACGACGAGTATAACCTACATTCAACACCTTCCAAAATGCCATCCCCAACCCGCGATACCTCGATTATCTCGCCAGCGAACACATTGCATGCCGGCCGCACCCCGAGACCATCACGCCTTTACCCCACACCAACCTCATCATCTGCAGCAGAAGAAGATAAGACAGAGCAGGCTCAGAAAACTAGTGCTACCTATGATAAGGATCACCTTGAGAGCGGGGCACGTTCCAGCGCAGATCCGACCGAGGAACACAGGGAATTTGACTCTATAATGGAAAGTGAAGGGTTCAGCATGGTCTCGCTGGATACATTGCCATCTGCTAAACAACATGAGATCAAGAGCGCGAGCCACTCCCACGCCGCCAAGAGTTCTCTAAAGCCTTTCTTAGAACGGGAATCAAATGGCGTCTTGAAGCGAAGAGCCTCGGCGGTCCAGAATCAACAAGAGGACAATCTTGTTCGGAAGCCCCGGTCGGACTCTAAGCAGCGGAAACAGTCACCAGCCCAGCTGTTCCGCCAGTCAAGCGAGGCCAATGCCCACTTAGACCGTCCATCATCCCAAGACAGGCTCGAACCTTCCAGAGTCATGCCCGGATCGACGGCGATATCATCTGAGTCGACTTTTACTGGACAAAAGCGGGGGCCGTTGACTAGGTTCGTCAGGATAGTTCGTGCAGGCTTAGCTCTCGAAGGGCCTCTTAGAAACTCAGAAGAGAAGCAATCTTCGTACCAGTCAAACTCAGGAAGGCTTGGCTTCTCGGGTGATCCAGATTCTATGCTGGATACGTCTAGGAAAAGGCTGGAACATGTTTTTGGTGACTTGACCCCACGAGTACAACAAGAGCTGCAGGCAGGCTTGGCATTTGGGCAGGAACTCGCGAAGAGGCGGATCGAGAGAGAAATGGAACAACGCAGACAAATGGAGTTGGAGACTGCAAGAAACACTGTTCGGGAGACCAGGGAATGGAGTGGCTCCAGTTCACCACAGCAAACACCGCCTAAGGCTACCGACTATGGCACACCGGGCACGTTTATGAAACGGCGGATGGAAGAATGGCAACGGGAAAGGGAAGCTATCAGTCGAGAGATCCAGATGGCAAACTCTAGCCAGGTTATCGTCATTGACAGCGACGATAATGATCAGTCGAATATGCAAGATGGCATGTATGAAGACGGCGATGAGCTAGAGTACGCGGCGGAACCCGTTCAAGACGATCAAGATGACGACGCCCACGTAGAGGCCGAGCGCCTAGATGGGGAAGACGAGGATGATGGCTACGAAGATATTTGGCAGCAAGAAGCTCGCAGTCAAGGCAACCAATCAGATCACTCTTCACTACTTGAGGATGACCAGGATGGTGAGCACCTTAGGCAGGATGGGTCTAGCCCGTGGAAGAGTGGCTGGACTCCTGCTCGGAATCAGAATGGCAAGATCTTATCGCCGGCTCATTGGACAAACGAGCGGGAGACTGTGCCATTCTTGGGCCGGTCGAGGGTCAAACAGTTACAGGAGCAAGAAGTTGATTTGACGGCTCTGTACCGTGCCCAGGACACACCAAAGCGTCGCCACTACTACTATGGGAAAAGCAGTCCGCCGAGCAGTGCAATACGAGGCTCTGTAGGCCGTTCGCCAGCTTCTGTGGTACAAGAGGAGCACTATGAGCATGATTTCAACCAGGATCAACAGTCAGAGGGCTACGTGGAGTCCAGCCCTCGCCGGGACTCGGAGGATGAAACATTCCAGATCGATCCCACAACCAGATTGGAGATGGCTAGACAACGCCAAGACCCTGGGATGGAATCCAACAAGATTGGGGGGATGTCAGATGCCGTTACATCCGAGAGACAAACTGCTCCAGAGGTGGGAGACATCACGCCGGAACGTCCACGGCATGCAAGCCCTGGCAGTCAAGCATCATCCTGGTTCCAGAAAATCACTAATTTCACGCCTGGTTGGCTCAGAGCACCGAAGTTTGAACAGCAAGGGCGGGGTTTGGAAAACCCTTCGGGCGACGAAGATGAGGAACCGCCCGCCGTTGAGTCAGCGCATGATGGATATGATAATGAGGATTACGGCGACGATGAAGTCAACTGGGGAGACTTAGGGGAAACCCCACGACCTACTCGATTTGAAGAGCCAGAAGATGGGAAACAGAGTTTCGCTAGTTCCCATTCTTTCCAAGCGGACGACGATGCGCACGCTTCACTGGACGAGAGGGGTGACAGAGAAGAAGTAGCGGAGAGGCGGGCTTCACGAGAGCAATCGCCCTCTTCCTTTTCCTTGTACTTTTCCGATGATCACTATCGCTTGCTGCATCGCCTCTATCGCTCGGCAAAACTGTATCCTGAACGCTTCCCTTACCACCCGGCGCCTGGTCGCTCCGATATGATTGGCGACTGGATCTGGACCTCGGATGGAGTCTACGGAGTGCCAGTCACAGAGCTTCAGTTTGGCATAGTTGATAGATTCGCGCAGCAGCTATCCCAAGCCGATTCAAAGGCCGGCGGAACGGGTCAGATTCCCTGGACGGAAGCTGACGTTCACAGAAGATTGATCAGTATCATTATCGGGGAACAGATCAGACAAGACCAGAGGGAGAGGAGGCTCCACGAGGATCAACTGAGGGAAGAGTATCCGCGAAGCAGGGACACAGCATACGGGACGTGGCGCATATGACTTCTCAAACCTGCACGTCGCTTGACTTCTGCCGCCTGAACTCGGCACACTACATCTATTCTTTGAGTACAGAACTTTGTTGGCACACAAAGTTAGCACACGTTGTAACGACTTATATTCTTGCTTTTCTTGTTGAGAGGATACGTTGTTTCGGGTCTTCACGGGTGGCGAACCAGCGGAATTGATCTTGAGGGTCATTGGGTGGCAGGCTCATTTTACGTTTTGGCCTTATGTTTCTTGTACAGCATCTATTTTGTCTACGTACTATTCCCCCTCTGTTTCATTTGTCTTGGACTCTCCACACCCGATTGGATCTCCATGAGTCAGCTGCCAACCAAATTTTTTATTTCTTACTCGTTCATATGTTGGAATGGAAACGCAACAACACCATTGGTGTATGCAGCACATATGGTTCCCTACTTTGGCAAAAGAGCGCACCTGTCAGCCAGGTTCGGAACAGACTTGTTTGGCCTGGAATCTGATTCGCAGAATTGACTTTCTAGTGCCCCTGTATAGACCAATGAATGCAGCACAGTTGACCGATCTTCATGGAACGTGTCGTGCTGCGGGCATCGGTGTTTGCTCTGTGACGTCCGCAACGTCCCGTCAACTTGGTGAGTTTCTCAACCTTTCGACCCTATTCCTTTATGGGTCGTGGTCAAGTAACGCCTCCTACTGCCACGTTTACTTTCTCCACGGGGTGGCTACATAAGAGTTTCACGGAAATAGTAGCAGTCACAGAAAACGGGGGTTGACCTGCCACCTGCCAACTACTACTTACTTCATGGTCTGACGAACTCGAGGTACATCATCGTCCCTCATTGGTCCCAACATTGTAGTTCTGACTGCACAGTGCAGACAATCCTGGAGCGCCAGCCAAGCGGAAGAAGGCGACATACGAGCCTAGCCCCATTTTAGAAGCCTGATGTCGGGTTGTGTCTCCTATGGCGCCTAAAACCGGATTTCCTGGCCGCCTCGGGTAAGGAAAGTATGCAGGGCGAGAAACGAGGGTATCGTTCGTAGTAGTAAACCGTTCCCCGAAGTGATAGATGCATCGGGTGCTGTTGGTAGTCAGTAACAGTAGTAATAGTAGTAGTGACCGGGTCGATATGATGTATATAAAAAGGGGGATTTCCAAATGGCCCGTAGTATACACAATCTATTGTGTCTGTGTGTCTGTGTGTGTGCCTGAGTTCAGTTACAACTGTTCGAACAGTTCTTGTCAGCTTAGCCAAAGGTGAACTGCAACGGTCAAGTCCACCACCATAGGTACTACTGTCCAGTCCCTTTGAATTGATAAGCAAAGAACAGATCAGCAGGAAGATCAGGCAGACAGAATTTACATTTTGTATATGTACGGAAAAGAAAAAGAAAAAATGGGGGTCAGCAATCCAGTCAAGTATGTCTTGCGCCTGTCCCTGTTCACCAACAAGCGAACCGAGCAGCAGCAACAACAACAACAACGACAACATCGACAACATCACTCCCCCTCCTCCATCTCCCCCATCTCCCCCATCTCCCCCTCCTCTACCTGGAAAGGGAAAGAAATTGACTTTGACCCGCCCATCGAGGTTCGCTGGGGCGCAGTACAGTACCCAGATGACTATGCAGCATTGACCGATGGTCATGCCCACATGGCGGTGAGCGCAATCGACTCGCATCTGGGCAGCAGCAACAGCAGCAACAGCAGCAGCAGCAGCAACAGCAGTAGCCGCAGCAGGAGCAGCGGTAGCAGTAGTCGGACGGGGTTGGTGCGCATCGCCAGCTGGGCTAGTCTGGCTGGAGATCGATGTCGGTGGACGATGGAACAGGAACGGAAATTAGCGATTGCGAGAAGCGAACTGGCTCGATGTCAGAAAGCTTGGAGTTCGGAGCAGGAATTGTGGATTGCTCAAGTATGTTTCATCCCCCTTTTCTCTTTTAGCTGTCTTTCAAATAAATCTCTCTTTGGAATTCCCATTCTTTCTGTGCGTGTGTGTGTGTGCTTCGCTCTGCTTGTTCACGGTTGTGAGACAAACACATCTATACCCCTGTTCTGTCTGACTTTCACCGAATGAATGAACTCACACCCCCATCTCACACATTGACGGGACATGACATACAGCAGACCCTGCTGTACCTGCATATGACTAACCTTTTCACGTATCTACGTAAAACCAGATCGAAAAGTTGCACGAGGAGAAAGAAGCCCACGAACAGTTCATCCACCACCGAGCGAAACAACAGGACGAAGAGCAGCAGCATTTTCGCAAATCCTGGATTCGACGGAAGTCTTACGAAGAGCAGCAACAACAACAGCAGCAGCAGAAACAGGTTGCTCCAACTACGCAGAGGACTAATAGTCGATTGCGGCGGATACGGCGCATGGGACCATAGTTATGTTAGGGTCGTCGGAAGTATAGTGCCTCGCTAGGCTCAAAAGTAAGTAGATAGTCTATGGAGCTTTCGACGTCATGATTGGCACCGACGTGAAACGATAACCATTTCTGACAGGTGATTTTCTGTTGATCGATCCTTTTTCTCGCTGGTCAGGAATTAGGTGTTTAACGTCATTTTTACGACTTCGTCTGTGTGTCTGAATGTGTCTCTTTCTAATTGCGATCAGCTCTGCAAGGCAACCCATTTTGGAAAAAGAACGAGGAAGGCAGGAAGAGATAATGAAGAATAACACAGAAGGTTGGAAAGGAAAAAGGGGGGAAGAGACGAGAATTTTGTCCATGATGACCTCCTGCATGAATGGCTTGTACTAGTTCTGAGGCTTGGGCTTGTGGGTTTTATTTTCGTCTCTCTCTCTCTCCCCCCCCTTATACCATCCACTTTCTCTTTTCTTCGCTGTCGATCCAGCTGGCTGCGCATCTTGATCTTCCCGTTGGCTCCGGAAAAGGATTTTTCTGTTGAGCAGGGAATCGAACAAGGAAGAAGAAAAAGAAAACAATGAATGCAATACTTCGCACAAGCATGGCTATTATTTTCCCGGACTTAGGGGCGATCCTGCTGCATGGAATGATCATCTGGCTGCCACATCGATCATTCTTTAGAGTAGAGCATGGTATTGAAGGCGGGTGGTATGCCTTCTATGCTTTATCGAGAGCGAGGTCTCTGGGTATAGAGAGGTCCTCCATGGATACTTTCTCCTGTTCATAGTATGGTCTATAGATACTACATCAGGCAGGAGTAGTATTTACTGGAGGCTCTGGTTAATTAGATATAGTCTGCTTACTACCACTGAAGAAGGCTCGCAAAGATAAGCCCGCAAACTCCGCGGCAAAATACTACTATAACCGCGCCACGCCATATCAAAATCAATGGCTTAGTTCATGTCACCCTGCAACAAACCTAACCATGTCAAATGAAGACACTAACTTAGTAGAGCCGAAGCTACCCCGGCGGACCGGCGAGCACCGCGCGAGCCCCCCGAGATAAGCAGGAAGGAGTGCGGCGAAGATCGAAAATTTGGGGCTTGTCTACATGAGACGTGCGGACCGGCGAACTACTGTACGTACCTTTTTCTTCCTCTAACCCTCATGATAGTCTCCATTTTGCGAACACAAGTACAAAGTAGGCTACTGTAAGCCTTATCATAAGGTCGAGAGCGAGGTTAGGTTCAAGTATGGATACAGCGCGCGGGCCACTTTTGCCCCAGCCACCTGTTCAGGCTGTGTATGTGTTGTTGTTGTTGTTGTTGTTGTTGTTGTTGTTGGCTGTTTGTGGTTCTGCACTATTTGCATAGAAGACAAAAACCACCATTGAAAAGCATTCATCTGATGGATCATATTTCAAGCCCTCCTTTTCCATTCCCATGGGATGAATAACTGGACAATGGCAATGCAAAGTAAGCAATGGGCTTATCTCGGGAGGCCGTGACTAATGGCGGGATTTTCATGAGTAAACTTTGGCTGTCCAACTGTCAACTGATAAGCTTGCATCCCGAACCCTCCAGGGGATGACGCATAGTCTGCCCGATCCGGGATCCCTGCCTCGGACTTTTTCGCATAGTATCTACGTATCTTCTTTTTTCCCTATCTTTGGGGAGATTTCTTTTTTTTTTTTATTTACTTATTTTTTATTATTTTTTTTATTTTCTTCCGTGTCCCCTCATAGTGTCTCCGGATGTCGTGTATCGTACCCTCTTTAGCTTTGTTCTTGCCTGCAGTGGCTGTTGTTAGTCGGGATAGATAGGTACTTAGTTGTCTTGCCTCTTTCTCGATCAACGCCACGTCACATTGCTTTTTTACCAAGAAGGATGCGCCTGACGATCAGCTCGATGGATGCAAGACAGATTCTTCTAGTAGAAGAATGATGGCTCACAATGGGCTTGTTACTTATCAATTCGATAGGTGTCGGGTGGCCATGGTGAGGCGATGGTAGACTACTACTATAGTACTAGTTACTGTAAGACAGTATACAATGATGATTCCCAAAAGAGCCAAAAAAAAGAAGTAGTCCGACAATGACTCGAGACCCCGTGATCCGGGAATTCGAGTCACGCTTTGGTCGGCGCTGTTTATCGCGTGGGTTTTATTCCTTTTCTGCATTGAAATTTCCTGCATTGGAAGGAGAGGATCGAGTCCACGCATGCCTTGTATTCCATTCATTCCCCTTCTTGTTTCTTTTCCTCTCGGGTCATCACTCTATCATTATTCTTCTGCCCAGCTAAGTATCGACTAACGAGTTTAGCTTCCCTCCTTCCGAACTCTAAGGACTATACTAGATTCCGCTCTCCTCACTTTGGAACTCCCCCCCACTCCTTAACGGCTTTGAGAATCTCTTTCGCCAGGTTCCTCACTGTCGGAGGCCGGCCTACGGGGCCGTTGCCACTGTCTTGGAGAAACCCCGGCCATTCATTCATCCCCTCAAGCATTCTCCTTTCGGGGCACTGGGATCCTCTACTAGGCTGGTACTTCGTACCCATGGTCGAGCTTGGTTCCTCGGGTGCACTTTCTTTTTCGTATGCTCGTTCCTTTTGCTTGGATGGCCGCTAGGAGCATGTGGTCCCATGTTCGAATTTGATTGTTATCGCTGTGGAACTGGCACCATGACCAGAGGAAAAGTACCTCTTCCCTGCCTCCCTCCCCCTCCTTTAGGTTTCTGATTTTCTTTTCCCCGTTCTACAATCCCGGAATATACTACTATCGAATGGATCCTTCCAATAATACCGTGAATATCCCTTGCTGGGCGCTTGATAAGCCTCGTGTCCACCAGTGAGGTCCGCCACACTCCGCGCGACACTTGTATCCTCCTCCCCCCCGATATTGAGGTATCCCCTTTAGGTTTGATGTTTATTGATCTAATGACAATTTTCTTGATTACCTGGAGTATTCTATTTCCTTTCAATCGATGTGCAATATTGGTTTCAGGGCTTACGCTTTCCTTCCATTTATACCCACCATCTGTCTGTGGCCCGGACATTCTTTGTGACAGCCGCTTGCTGAAGCCCCGTAAAGAGACATGTCTGTCCTACTCGAGTCTGGCCAGGTGTAGGTACCCTGTGACTTTCGAATCCTTCCTTTCGCCGATATATTAGATGTCTGGTCCCGCCTGCGGGGAAGCGCCTGATCTTGGCCCAGATCGCCATGAGTTCGAAATGTCGACGGCCATCACCTCACTCTGGTGGCCCGAGGATCGCGTGAAGGCCACCCTTTGTCCCGAATACGTCTTTAACCACCTACCTTCGAACATCTTGCACCGTCTCGTCAACCCCTTGCCTTGGGGAGAGGGTCTGACCAGCGAGTCTTACTTAGACTGGATCCTCGCCAAGGCCGGTAGAATCTTCCTGATCCTCGTGGATATCGGCATACCGGAGCGCATATTTGCCCTGGTCGATGAATCATTAGATGACACGGATTTACCTTTGTCGGCACCGAGTACCACTCGCCTTCCTCTCGCACCTGAAGGGGACAACGCAACCGTTGCCCACAAATTCTTTCTCGCTCAATGGCGGTTCACGGTACGCGGTATCAATGAAGGCGACCATATCAAGTATACTCAGAACGAGGGCGTCCCCGTGGAGCTTCTTCGTACCGGAACGTCTCTAGTGAGAGAGGGCGTGGAGAAGGTGGTTCTAGCTGGCTCCAAATGTCGTGTGCTGTTGCGAACGCAAGTCTCTATTGGCGGCGCACCGCATTTCTTCGAGGAGAACGAGGTGTTGGAAGAAATCCGCTCTCTGAGAAGGCTAGCCCACGATCACGTCTACTCAATCTACGCCTCCTACTTTGTGGATACCACCGTTTGCATTCTCTTCTCGGGCGTTTACGAGCGAACCCTCATGTCATTCCTTACCGACGTGCCTCAACCTTTCAAGCGCCTCGCCAAGAACAAGCGTCGAGAGATATTAGTCAATTGGCCACATTGTCTGGCGAATGGATTGTCATGGTTGCATGCACATAGCCAGGCCCATAGCCTAATTTCTCCGTCGAACATCCTGGTTGACGCCGACTTTCGGATTTTCCTGGGCCAGTTCGAGGCTCTCGACACTCTTCTTTCCCCACTCAAGCCGGACGACGTTGAAACCTACCAGTATGGTGCGCCCGAGCGATGGGTACGCTCAGTCAGTATTCAGGACACAAGCGCACCAAGCCCAAACATTGCGCTTCCATCAGGGGGGCGTTCGGCTCGCAAACAGTCGTCCCGTCCCGCAATGCTGAGCTTATCGAGATTCCGGGGCTCTCAACCGTCGGATCAGGATACAGAAATACACGCGGAGTCTGTGACGTCGCAGGGAACTGCCATACGTATCGGCCTACGAGGCTCACCTTCTCGGATATCTTTCACCAACTCATCTTCCTCTGGATCAAGCGTTGGGAGCGCCCGCAAGCGCGTGGTATCCTCCATAAAACGACCCATGTTCTACACCCCGTCCATCACTTCGTCCAACTCCAATTCTTCTAGATCATCAACCACTCCTTCTACCACATATGGCCAGTTTGGCTACCCAATCATCGGTTCCAACGCCGCCATCGTTCATACGTGGCAAACACGTCAGTCAGATCCAGAAGCCTCGGACATATTCTCACTGGGAGCAGTATTTCTCGACATCTTCACTCATTTATGCAAGCGCAAGCTCTCTGCTTTTTCACACCACCGAGGGGCCAAGAACCGGACCGCTGGCCGCGGTGGCGGCGTCGCAGACTGCTCATTCCACCTCGACCGAAACGCCGGCCAAGTGAGCTCCTGGATCGCCCTACTGGACAACGATGCGAAGAAACACAAAGATCCCATCTTTCAGGCTGTTCGACCGATGCTCACCGTCGTGCGAAGCATGCTAAACAGAGAACCCATGAGCCGTCCGTCTGCTTATCAGGTGGAGCAGCTCCTGGCCCACTCCCTCCAGAAACTGGACGGAAGCTGTAGCCTCCACTGTACTTCCGACCTGCAAGTCCACGCCCCCAGGACGAAACATCCACTCCGTTTAGGCGCACAAGCAGCCTCGTCATCAGACAGACTCGTCGTTCCGCGAGCAAAGCCACTAGGGGCCAGATCCCCGTCTCCA